TGCATCCTATACAGAGGGAGTGCCACCTTCCTGCATATACCCAGGTTCTGTCTCACCTTCCTATAAGCCTCCATATATTCAGCTATCTGAAGCTCTTTGGGCTTTTATGGAGACTTCATTGCATAGGCATGATTGAAGTATTACAACCTTTCACAAATGTGATTGGACAGAAAGAATGTGAGCTCATGGAAATAGATTAAGTGGGAGAACCCAGCAAGGCAGATCTTTTCAGATTGTTTTTGGACTCTGAACAGCATATCTTCTTCCTAGGCTTAGGGCAGGGCCCCTTCTAAAATGGAGGGCTTAGCTGGGTATAGTGGCACACATTTCTAATCCCAGCACTTGGGAGGCAGAAATAGAGGATCACTGAGTTCAAGGTCAGTCTGAACTACACATTGAAGCTGAAATGAATGTATGAATGGATCTTATGATGTGCTGTCAGATAGGCAGGTCAGATAATTTCTTTATGGCCAAGAAAGGCAGGAAAGACTCACTGCAATGGGAGAAGCAGGGAGGCCTGGGCCAGCGCTGCCCTCAGCCCCCACTTTCGGCCACATTACCCTGCCCTCAGGGGGCTCAGGGTGCTAATAAGTGGCTTAGCCACAGGAGCTGGAGCCAGGTAGAACTTCAGTCATTCCAAGGGAGGTTCACTGATTTACACTCCTGCTTTCATAAAGTTTGGCTGCCAGAGCACTGTGAATGGAAACAACCTCAAAGTCAGGTTGTCCAAAGCTGGGCAAGAACACCCGGTACAGTTTTGGAATGAAGTGGAAGAAACCCAGCAGGTGAAATTTTGGGCAGAGCTCTAGGCCATGACTTTGAGGAGCAACTTTCTTTTTCTAAAAGGTTATTGAAGGATTTAACCAGTCTTCTCACCAAGAGAAAATAGAAGCACAAGTTAAACCTGTCCCTCTAGAAGTGTTGGGGAGTACTACTAGGGATCAAGATCAGCTCCAGGCCTGGGAAAGTGAAGGACTTGCCCAGATTTCTCAACAAAATAGCAGTTCTCCTTCTAGCTGGTGGGCAGGGGATAGGACTTGGAGTTACACACCTTAAGGAGATGTATGGCGTTGCTTTATCTTCCCGTAAGATACTTTTTCAGATTCAAGCAGAGTATATCCTGAAACTACTACTCTTAGCTGAGAAATATTATGGCAACAAATATGTCATCCCCTGGTATATTAAGACCAGTGACAGAATAATGGAAGCAACAAAGTTCTTCACAAAGCGCAAGTACTTTGGTTTAAAAAAGAAAATGTGACAGATTTTTCATGAACCACAAGTACTTTGGTTTAAAAAGACAGAGAGAATGTAATCTTTTTTCAGTAGGGAATGGTGCCTGCTATGAATTTTGATGGCAAAATTATATTGGAAGAGAAGAACAAAGTTTCGATGGCCCCAGATGACTCTTGGAGCCCAAAATATTCTGGAGGGTATGGAACAAAGAGGCATTTGGTACGTTCATGTCTGTTGAGTAGACAGTTTATTGGTAAAGATGGCAGACCACAGTTCATTGGATTTTGCATTCAGAAAGGAACAGAGGAGGAGGCAAAGCTGGGAGAGAAGACAAACACTACAGACCCAGTTAGAGTGGTTTGCCAGGTGGACAGTGTATTAGGTGTTGGAATATAGGGAAATTTCTTTCTGACAACAGCTCAGAAATGAAGCACAAATAGATGACTTTTGTTCAATGTGGACAACATTACTGATCATTTCTTTACCATATTGTTTTCTGAGAAATGTTAATGTTACAAACCTCAGCTGCAGCACCATATACTTCAAAGAGAGTCTGTCAGTGAATTCCCAGAGCAAGTTAATTCAGCCAGACAAGCCAAACAGAATAAAGATGAAAAAATTTGTCTTTGACATCTTCCAGTTTGCAAAGAAGTTTGGTATATGAAGTATTACAGGAAGAGGAGTTTTCCCCTACTCAAGAATGTAAACTGTCAGAATAGAAAGGACAGCCCTACAACTGCAAGGCATCCCTTCACCATTGCTGGGTCCTCAGTGTAGAGGGCTACTTCATAGATGAAAATGGTTCTCACCTAGCAATTCCCTGCTTGAAGGATGCCAGTGAATACCAATCCAGAGTGAAATCTCTCTTATCTCCTGTGTTGTAGAAGGACTGGAAAGTTCTGTGGCAGATCAAGAATATATGCACCTTTGATCATTGATCAGAATTAGTGCATGAGCTGGTGAAAATGTTATATGAAGCATATACCAAGTTTGCTGCAGCGGGGGATAGCTTATCATTTTTGATAGACCAACTGTGAACCTACAGGACTGTTGGGAGCTGATGAAGCTGGAAACAGATCCCATGTGCAAAAACAGCTGTTCAGAGAACAAAGAGTGCCCAGGGCAAGCCACGTGAAGAAGCTGTTTCAACCCAAGGACACCTAGCCCCAAGACAAACAGTGGGTTGCTAGGACAGCAAGGTATCAATGACACTAAATTGCTAAAAGGTGTAAATAAATGCCCCTGCAGTGAGGGGGCAGTTCCTTTCTTCCCATCTGGAGAGTAAGGACTCCATCTGACTACTTTTGTTTCTTGTTTTCTTATCCTCTGGTGGTCCTTCACCCAAGGAACTTCATGGGCTGCCTGGGTCGGTTGCAGGACAGGACCTCTCTTGGAGCTCTATAAGTTTGAACATTCACAGGGTTTCATTTTGCTGGTTAAACTGTTAGAGCCACTATAAACTTTCTAAGATCCACATGACTGAACTTCAGATAGCATTTTTATGATTCTCAGTTCACTGAAGGTCTTACGTATTTTTCAATTGTCTGATTTGTCTCCAAGTCAAAGAAAACATTGGCAATCTAGAGAATTTCTTAAAGCTTAAGTAGTCAGGATATTCAACATCACTTTACTTAGAGCTAGAAGCTTTTGTTTTTGAAGTTGTACATACCAATATTTTTTATCAAGCATTAAACTTAATTTTAAGAAAATAATTGAACAATAAATTGCCTTATCTTGTCATCTTTGGAAAAAGGAGAAAAAAATGAAAGGTAAAAAATGAAGATAGTTAATTTTAATAACAGAAAAACAGTGTATTTTTAGTTTCTGTGGCCAGCCTAATAGAAGAGAAATTCTGCTTTCCATGGCCTGCCTTGGGGAGAAAAAAAGAGCAGGTGAAAGGAGGGCAGAAAAAGATCAGAGACGCAGAGAGACACAGGAGAGACAAAGCAAGCAAGGCAGAGACTGAGACTTTGTTTTCTGAGGCCCAACCCATCCAAATGTTATCACAAAAGACCATCAGGACTGCGAGTCACATTTACCACTCTGAAATTGTTTTGAAACTTCATCAGAAACTTAAGGACCAGGCTAGGTGTGGTGGTACGTGTCTGTAGTCCCAGCACTCCAGAGAGAAAAGCAGGAGGATCGCTGTGAGTTTGAGGCCAGCCTGCCTGTCCTACAAAGTGAGATCAAGGCCAGGCCAAATTGCATAGTAAAACCCTCTCAAAAAGGTGAAAAAAAGAGAAACAAACTAGGAGCCAAAGGCCAAATTCTTTAACATTATTATTCTAGTCATTCAGAAAATAACAAGAGCTATTAGAATCATAAGCCAGGAACCATGAATGAAAAACAGTATATTGGTCATAATATCAGTGTGATGGGCCAGAGTTATAGCTCAGCTACACAGGTGCTTGCCTAGCAAGCACAAGATCATGAGTTCAATTCCCAGTACCTCCCCCCCAAAAATGCACCACACTGACACAAGTTGCAAGAAACAGGAGACATGGCAGGTAGATACCACATGATCATAGCTATAGAAAAAGACACTGGTGGAAGACTGCTGAAATCTGAAAAAAGGCTGTGGCTTAGTAAATAGTACTACACCATTGTTAACTTTGGGTTTTGATTAAATACGGTTTGACTACATGTGACATTAACATCCGGAGGAGATGGGAAGAGAATTCAGGAACTCTACTATTCCTGACACTTTTGTAGTCCCATGATACAGTATTTCAAAGTGTAAAAACATTTTGTTTTTCAAGAGCCTGACCTTGAAGTAGGCAGAGAAGATTGGACCTTGGGCCTTCCACTGACTGACTGGGAGACCTTGAACAAATTAGTTAAATTCTAAGCCTCTTCCTCTTCCTCTTTAGAATGGAGACACTCGTTGTAAACGTTAAAAGAGATAATGTGTTGAAAAAATGTCTTAGATTTATAGCTGTTGTTATTTTTAAGATACATTTCTCCATGTGTTTGATTTGGTGTTTTATCTTTCTGATCAGTAATGTTCTTCAAATGTCTGGCAGCTTTGTTTGTATTAAAGAGCTTTTGGAAGCTATTTAAGTAGGGGGGGACTCAAGAGACTGATGAGTCTGACTAGGTGCCCAGATGGCCAGGGAGTGCTTCGTGTTGTAAACCCCAGATAACAGTCTTTGGTCTTTTTGGTGGGATCAGATGTAAATCCTACCTACAGGTATGTGCCCACCTTCTTGTACTCTGGAACTGAGTGGGAGGCTATTCATTGTGCAGCCTTCACTTGAGCCCTGACTTTGACCACATGTCAGCTCTGCCTTCCCTGACTAGTTCCCTTTTGGCCTGGCTATTCCTGAATTTTTCTGCTTTCTCCAGGAGTCTGCTGACTCACATCAGGTAGGGTAATAACTAGAGACGAGACCCCTGCTGTCTCATTTCTTGTTTACTCACATCATTTCCTGCCCTGTCCCTACTTCTCAGCTGTCCTCCCAGGGGCTGTGTTACTTTCCAGGATCTGGAAAGGAAAGCACCTCCCTTCTCAGTGGCATCTCATTTTCAGACATAGAGCTAAGGCCTTTTCCAGTCCACTGAGCAGTGTACCATCCTTCCTGCCTTCATGGACTGTGGTTTGGGCTGCTACAGGGCCTGTGGTGGTATCATTGTGGATTTTTGTGTTTGGTTTTATGGTTTCTCTGTTTGGGGTGTGTTTTCTCAAAAGGAAGTCACAGAGAGATCTTTGTCTCCCACTGAGAGATGCATTTAACCTCTAATACTTCATACCCTTGTTATTTTAGTCAGAGCTCAGCTGCATGGAAGGAAGCTGCACGTGTTCCTTTCCAACCAGTGAGCTGGAGAAGGTGCTTCCGCAGACCATCCTGTGCAAATACTATGAGCGGAAGGCTGAAGAGGAAGTTGCTGCAGCTTATGCTGATGAGCTTGTCAGGTGAATTCACAGAATCTCCCCAGTGTAAAGATGTCCTGCTACATCCTGCAGCTTTTCTGGCATGTTGTACTAAAAAATTAAGATAGTTAATTTTAATAACAGAAAAATCTATAGATTGGAGTCTTTTATCTATATACCTCGCTGCCTTCTGATGTTCTGGCCTGTGAGTACAATCACTGTACCCTAAGTTAGAGATAAAATATGCTAGGAATTTTATAAAGGGTGGGATATGTGTTTATAGAGGGAATGGCACTGAGTCAGGACATAGAATGACACCTGTGTATCCTACTAAGAGCCAGTACAGAGAAGAGGCTCAGCCCATGTTTTAATGCAAAACAAGAAGTAAAAATCCAGTATTGCTATCTAGGTCACTACTCCCTCTTAGTAGGAGCAGTCATGCAAAACCAAAGCAGGCTTTCATGCTGAGCCCTGCCTTTCTGCCTTTTGGACCCCAGGTGCCCCTCCTGCAGCTTTCCTGCTCTGTTGGACAGTGACGTGAAGAGGTTCAGCTGTCCTAACCCTCGTTGCCGGAAGGTAAGGAGGCAGTTTTTTCTGTATGTATATTTGAATTTGGGGATTATGAGCAATCCTGATGGCCTTTGTGTATCTGCATGAGATTTGACTGTTTTCATAAAAGTGGAGATCAGGGGCTGGGGATTTAGCTCAGCGGCATAAGCGCCTGCCTTGCAAGCAGGCAGTCGTGAGTTCGATCTCTGGTACCGATAAAAAAGGAAAAAGACAAAAAAAAAAAAAAGTGGAGATCAGTACTCTGTGAATGGTGGTTGACATGGTTATGGAAATGGGAACCAGTTCTAGATTTCCTGTTAGGAAGCTACAAATCTTTTTTATGCCATCTTCATGCAAAGACAAATATTGTTACACGCATGTGAAGCATTTTTTCTTGACTGCATCTTCAGTTTTCTTGCTTTCCCTTTTCTTTCTGCTTAAATACAACCTTCTACCCCACTCTCAAACTTCCTGCCTTTCTCAAAGTCAAAGCGACATTCCTTCAAAAACTAGGCAACATGGTAGCACCTCTGACATGTCGAGTAGGTTTTCTGGTGTCAGGTGAGACCAGAACCATCTAGTCACCTTACTGCTGCAGATCTTTCTTCTCTTTAACTAGATTCCTATTCTGTGAACTAAAAATATCTTTAGAGCCAGACGTGACACATGCCTGTAACCCCAGTACTTGAGAGGCTGAGACAGGAGGATCCTTGCAAGTTTGAGAGGAGCCTGGGCTACAAAGTGAGCCCAAGGCTAGCTTGGCTACACAATGAGACTCCGTCTCAAAAAAAAAGTCTTTAGATTTGTCATTTGGAAGCCACTTCAGATTTAGTGAACGTTGACATCCAACTAGGCAAATTGTGTTAAGCCATTTTCCTAAAACCATGTAATCAGAGTTGAACATTGCAGTATTTTGTAGAGAGGGAAGAAATTGAGGTGGATATTAGACAAGAGGGAAGAAACTAAAGTAATAAACTGAAACTTTACCCCTTTTGATTTCCACATTAATATTTCTATATGAAACCTGTCTATGTTCTTACAGCTGATAGGGCTATTTAATCTTTTGTCCCCAACCCAGGCTGTTATCATAACAGTTGTCCTCATAGTATCTGCCATACTAGACTAAGAAAGCATAGGAACCGACTGTCTGTGTGTAAGGAGTGTGTCAGGCACTGAAATGCCTGGAAAGAGATGTCTGAGCCAAGATGCAGAGCAAGGAGAGGAGAAGGGCGAGAGTTGGCAGGAGAACAGGAAGATGTTCTAGGCCAAAGAAGCAGCAGCAGCCTGGACCATTGACTGGCAGCAAGCAGGATTGCAAAGAAGGCTCAGGAGCTAGGTGTACACAGGCCTTGAAGCCACACAAAGAGCAAAAGGTAAATATAAAGACCTATTTGGCTGCTGAGTAGTCCAGATGAGCTATGTACATTGCTGCCAGCTCCTCTGGGGCTTCTGTGAATTTAGTGAAAAGCTGAAAACTACATTTCCTGGTAGGATTTAGTAATATGGTCCAGAGAGAGTACTCATATACTATATGGAAGCCAAAGAGATGAGTAGTTACAGAGACATTGGGAAACAGCAAGAGAGTGCACCCAAGTCCAAGACAGTACCCAGTGAGTATGTAGAACATCAGTTTGGGGTATCTGTGGGAGCTTCCTAGAGGTGCCAAGGATCCCAAGCAGAAATCTGTCTGGAGAGATATGCCTGCTAGCTGAAATGGGAAGTAACTATTTAGTTTCTTTTGGCTGATGAAATGTGCATGTGATTAGATCACATCCAGAAGAAAAACAAAACTTAAGAACAAATGCAGTGGTGGAACTAGCACTTACTCACCATTGCCTTTCCCAAGCTCTGTGCAGAATAGGCAGTAGGAAACCCCCAACTTCTTGCTTCTTTCCAGGGAGGGAAAGCACTGGATCATGAGCCTAGCATTCTGGCATTTCAGGATCCTGCCCAAGACAGTTTTTTTGTCTCAACCAGGTCAGAGCACTGAAAGGATCTGGTGTAGTGTATGTGTCTGAATGTCACTGAGAACAAAGAATGCCACGCAGCTTGTACTCCACCAGAGGAGCAGTGTATAATAGAACCCAGTATACCTCAGAAGCATCTCCCCTGGGTGATAAAAGGAATAAAAGAACGACTGGATCATGTGTCCAGTGTGACGGCCGTTCTGGGGTGCCTGAGGGATTAGTTTCTGTCTTGCCCAACTGAGAGTACCGATAGCACTCGGCACACCCTAGAGGCCTGGTTGCTGCTGAGACCAAAAAATGAAAATGCTAACTCCAGGGCCTCAGCAGTACCTTAGACACTAGAAGAAGCAAGAGGTTATATACTTAGGAGGGTGCATACTCTAGGGACTGCAAAACCTCTCTAACTTGGAATTTCCATGTACAAACTCAGAGAAGACATATCTGTAAAAAAGGCTTGAGAGGCCCCCAATCTCCCTATGATTGGTGAAGATCCCTGTACAAAGCTATTCTATAAAAACTGAAAGGGGTGACCATTTTTCCAAATGTGCCTATCCAAACATAAAAGTAACACACCTACACACACAAAGACTCGATCAGAGGAACAAAATACATATCTAGAAATCAACCCAAAAAACACTGACGTGTATAAATTCCTGGCAGAAGACTTGACTATCATACAAACAGTCAACAAGCTTGAGAAAATGCTACATGTACAAAGTCAAAACATCAACAAGGTGAAAATATTTTTTTTTTAATTCTGGAGTTAAAAAATACAGAAACTGAAATGAAAAACATACTAGAAGAATTCAGCAGAAGAATTAGCAAACTGACAAGCAGGCCCTTTGAAATTATCCAGTCCAAGGAACAAAAATAAAAAGAAGGAGAGTGAAGAAAGCCTAAGGAACTTAAGGGTGACCATCAGGTAGACCATGACTCACATTATAGGAGTCTCAGGTGAAGAAGGGGAGGGACAGCAGAAAGCTTATTTGAAGAAATAATGGCTGTGAACTTACAAAACCAGGGAAGGAATCAGACATTAAGATTCAAAAACTCCAGTAGATGTCCAACTAAGATGAACCAGAAAGGGTGGATGTGGTGGCACATATGTCTTATCCCAGCACTTAGGAGGCTGGACAAGAGAATTGCTATGAATTCAAGGACAGCCTAAAATACATAGAAGACCCTGTCTCCAAAAAAATCAAAAATATAAGATGAACCAAAGATCACACCAAGGCATGTAATCTGGTTCTCAAGAAAATTTTGAAAGCAGGGAGAGAAAAATGACTTTCTTCCATTAAAATTATCTGCTGAATTTCAAACTTTGTAGTCCAGGAGAGAATTGGATGGTTTATTCAGAATTCTGAAAGAAAGAAAAAAACTTCCAGCCTAGAACGTGTTATACTTCTGGTGTACTTCTGTAACCCCAACACTTGGAAACTGAGGCTAGAGAATCATCATGAGTTTGAGGCCAACCTGGGCTATATAATGAGTTAGCCTGGACTACGTAGCAAGACCTGTTTCACAAAAAAACAACAATAAAGAAAAACAAATTTTTAATTAAAAAACATATAGATAGATAGTGTCTGACCAAACTGTTGATAGATAGTATCTGACCAAACTGTTTTTCAAGAATGAAGAAAAGAACTTTCTAGAGTGCTCCGTGAGGTGGAGAGCAGGGGCTGCCTGGCCTGCACACAACTACACACTCCTCCCTAATTCTCCCACTGTGGTCCAGCCCGCTCACCACCTGTAAGGAAATAGTGAAAGAAACCACTTACTGTGATGTTTTAAGGATCAAACCCAATGCCATCCAAGAAAAACTGAAAAAAACTTATAAGAAACTGGCTTTGATGTACCACCCTTATAAGCATCCAAATGAAGGAGAAAAGTTTAAACAGATTTCGCAAGTTCTCTGATGCCAAGAGAAGGGAATTATATGACGAAGAAGGAGAACAGGCAATTGAGGGTGGAGCAGGCGTCAGTTCTAGATCCCCTATGGATATCTTTAATACGTTTTTTGGAGGAGGAGAAAGGATTCAGAGAAAGGAGAAGTAAAAATGTGCGTCAGCTCTTGGTTACCTTAGAAGATTTATATAATGGTGACACAAGGAAGCTGACTGCAAAAGAATGTGATTTGTGAAGGCCAAGGTGGCAAGAAAGGAGATGTGAATTGTTGTCCCAATAACAGAGGTACTGGAATGCAAGTAAGAATTCATCAGATAGGACTTGGAGGGCTGGAGATTCAGCTCAGTGGTATAAGCACCTGTCTGGCAAGTGCACGGTAATGAGTTTGATCCCCAGTACCTCAAAAAACAAACAAATGAACAATCAAAGGTAGGACCTGGAATGGTTCAGCAAATTCAGTCTGTGTTTGTGTGAGGTGCCAGGGCCATGGGGAATTTATCAGCCCTAAAGATAGATGTAAAAGCTGCAACAGAAAAAGATTCTGGAAGATCATATTGACAAAGGCATGAAAGATGGCCAGAAAATAGCATTCCATGGTAAAAGAGACCAAGAACCAGGATTGGAGCCAGGAGATGTTATTATTTTATTAGATCAGAAGGACCATGCTGTTTTTACTCGGTAAAGACTTAACCGTTCAAATTGACCTCTTGCATATCTGGTAATTTTATTTCCATTTAAATGAGATTTTCATTACTATTAAAGCACAATTTCTGGAAATACCTAGAAAGGTACAGCAGAAATATTTAAGTATCTATGATGCATCTTGTAAAAGTCTATTTGTTTCATTCATAAAAGAGCCTGCAAACAAATTCAGTTTTTGCATTTTGTCTCTGAATAAATTTGTTACCCAATCTCATACTTGAAAGGCATATTTCAATTAGAAGATGTTTCGTGTGAGCATACCTGGAGTAGGAGATGGCTGTAGGACACATACCCAGACAGAATTTTGCCCTTAACTGTCTTAATTCACAGTAAATACAATAAATTTTTTACCAATTTTTAGTCCCAAGTTTGTGATGAATTAAGCTGCTTTTAAGTATCCAGAACTATTTAAGAATTGAAATTGGGACTTGATATAAGCTATAAATTCATCCA